GCTATGACTCAGAATCGACTCGAAGACACTTAAAAAGCAAGCAGAGAAGGTGGAGTCCTGGTGTGGTGCTGTACGTTAAGCACTGGACTGCTAACCACAAGGACGGTGGTTCAAATCCACCAGCCTCTGCTCGGAAACTCTATACAGGATCACTATGAGTTGGTAACTACAGAGACAACAGCAAAGCAGAAGAGGCAGATGTGAAAACACACCCGGACCCAGCAGAATGAGGGACATTTGGGGAACCAAATGTGATTCGTCTGGCTGGAGGGCAGGGTTCTCTGGGGAGAAGCAAGAGTCAGCTCACCAGGGTCTGGAGTGTTCAAACTCATCCAGAAGGTGATCAGGAGCTACAGAGGAATATTGCAAGCGGTAGTCATAATCATATCAGTAAGACTGTGAATGCAGTGGCCTCCCATTAATACTCCAGCATCGATACCTAAATTAGGTTAAGTATTTTATTGTTGTTGTTGTTGTTGTTAAGTGCCATCGAATCTGTTCCGACCCATAGCGACCCTGTATAGGGTTTCCGAGGAGAAGTTTGTGAGCTTGAACCGCCGACCTTGCAGTTCAAACTGACCTTGCAGTCCACCGCATTAACCCACAGCGCCACATTAAACCTCCTCCTGTTGTTGTTGTTGTTAAGTGCTATCGAGTCGATTCCGTCCCATAGCGACCCTGTATAGGGTTTCCAAGGAGCAGCTGGTGAGCTTGAACCACCGACCTTGCAGTTCAAACGACTTTGCATTCTGACACATTAGACCAAAGCGCCACACCAGGACTCCTTAGAAAGGTATACCCTAGCTACGTCCCTAGATGGTGCAATCTGTTAGCTTTACACTGCTGACTCCTCCCAGTTAAACCCTGCCCCATAACACGACCGCTAAGCTGGGTGACTCGACCTACCCAACCTCTCCCTCCGCCCTAGGTTTCGACAGCTGCTGGCGGAGCACGAACCCGAGGTGCAGCAGGTGGCCCGGCTGTTCCGCTCGGTGCTGCAGGAAGTCCTGGAAAGGATGAAGGAGGAGGAGGAGGTCCAGAAGCTGACAAGGCAGTGGAGCCTACGGCCTCGAGGAAACCAGGCCCTGGCCACTTTCAAGACCCGTGCGCGCATCTCCCCGTTCGCCAGCGACATCCGGACCATTTCGGAGGACGTGGAACGGGACACGCCGCCGCCGCCCCGGGCGTGGAGCATGCCTGAATTCCGGGCGCCCCAGGCGGACTGATCCTTGCCCTTGCCCTTGCCCTTGCCCTTGCCCTTCCCCTTCCCAGGAGCTGAGCCACCTGCAGGAGGGCATGATAGGCCGGTGATTGGGTCACCCGGTCCTGGAACCTCCTTCACCTACCCCAGAAGAGACTACCCAATTCAATTCCAAGACACTCCTTTAATACCTAGCAACGACTCCCTGCCTCCCTACTGATCACAGGGCCCAAGGTTTTAGGGCTTGGAACTGGGGAGGGGGTGTTCCTTCCCCTGCACAAGCAGCCCTTTCACTGTCCCTCAGAGATTCAGTGTCTTGGCAGACAGATCACAGTTCCACAGGAGTATCTTCCTACCTGTTTGCCCAGACTGATTCACACAGCAACTTCAGGGATGTCCTTCTCCCTGGACAATGATGAGGTACTTGTTCTTCAGGTCCATTCTCTGTTGGTGACCAGCTGGTCTCACCCAGCAGGTGGATCACAGCCTCATAAATGGTCAGGTCTGGATGGGATCACCCCACTCTAATGAATGAGGAAACAGGCTCAGGGAAGGACAGGATTCTTTCACGGTAAACTGCAGCCAGACACCCATAGATTATGAGGTTGTTTCTGTACACTTGAGTCTTTGCCCTTGAGCCCTTGAGTCCTGGGCGATGATGGGGAAGGCCCAAGGGCAACATCTCTGCCTACCTGAGGGTGGGGGTCTAAGCTGCTCTCTAAGAAAGTTAACTGGAAAAGGGATGGTGGTGGTGGTAGCAGTTCCCATTCATAATCACCCCGAGGCTATAAATCATTATGGGAGCAGAAAGCCTTTCTGCCACGGTAACACTGGTGATTCCAAACTGCTGATCTTGAGGTTAGAAGCCCAATTCCTAACCACTACACTGCCAGAGCTCCTTGGAAAAGGGATAGGTTGCCTATTATCTTATCCCACTCTGCCATCAGGTGGGATTTGGCCACCCCTTAGTGGCTTCTGGAGTCCTAGTATGGCACTTAAGATCAGCACTGGACTGCAAACCATAAGGTTGGCAGTTCAAAACCACTAGCAACTCTTCAGAAATCTTTTCCAGGGTCAGCATGAGTCAAAACCAACTCACAGCACTTAACAACACATCAGTGGCATATGCCAATGGCGAAACTCTAAGGCCTTTGAACACACTGCTCTGGAGGCCCAGGTCTTTGAATTGCAGGGTTCCTACTCTATCTGGTCATGCCTGCTCTCTGGCTTTTCTCAGGGAAAATGATGCCCAAATCTCTAAGTGACCTGAAGACACCTGAGTGAAATGTTCTAGAGCATTCACTGTCCTTCCATTTTCTGACACAGCTCTTGATGATGGGCAGGTGGCTATGGTCATCCACTGGGTAGATCATCCATGGCCAATCTAGAAGGTCAGCTGGCCTCCTGACACACTCTAGGGCTGAGGTGGGGATGGGTGTGTGTGGATGGAAAAGTGCCCCAAACCATCAGTGCGTGCTATGTGGCTTTGTTGATGTTATTATTATGTGCCATGGAGTTGGTTCCGACTCACAGTGAACCTGAACAGGGTTTCCGAGGCTATAAATCTTTATGGGAGCAGAAAGCCTCATCTTTCTCCCACGGAACAGCTGGTAATTTCGAACTGCTGTTGTGGTTCACAGCCTGATTCGTAACCACTAGCTACGACTTAGTGTTTGTCTAAATATAATACCAGATGAGATTAAAATCAATAGAAGGAAAATCTGTATATTCCCTGACCAAACCAGTGAAAATATTTTTTTAATGATCTGGTTTCAAATTGTTGTTGTTAAGTGCCATCAAGTCGGTTTAGACTCATAGCCACCCTGTGTACAGTTTCCAAGAAGCGGCTGGTGAATTTGAACCAGACGTTGCAGTTCAAACTGACCTTGCAGTCCAGCCCATTAATCCACAGCGCCACACCAGGACTCTGGTTTCGGATTATCTTCATTCAAATCTAGATTAAGATGCATAATATGGTGGGATTTTCTTATCTAATACTATTAAGATTTGAGGTCATTTGGCTGTAACATCGGTCACCCTACTGATCGCCAGGCTTGCTGCAGCCAATCTGTCCCCTTCGTTCATTGCTTCATGTGTGTCCCTCCAGGCTGCACTGGTGGTTGAAGAGGATGACCTTCTTTGATAGAGGAGGCCCATGCTTTGCCCCAGGGTATATGCATAGCTACACTCCCCTGCCTGACTCTCCAAACAAGCCCTCAAGGTCCAACACCATCAAGATGAAGTTGTAGACTGGCTCATTAACATAGGTGGTGAAAGTTGCTGATCTTTTAAATAAATATATGTATCTTAGCTTCCATATTTTAGCCCAAGCCATAAAAAAGTTCATTCAGTTGCCAAACTTTTGATGGAGGTTCAAGTTGTGTTCACTTTTTTCACAAGTATGGGTTGTGTGATGGGAGTTCTAGTCTTGTTTTATCAGTTTGTGTTCATTTAAAATTTATTATCATAATAAGAACAATGGACAGAAACATTTTGGAACAGACAGAAGCAAGCTTGGTAAGCAGATAACTCACTTGGTAGGTGCAAAAGTGTTGGGGAGTAATACTTGCTACTAGCTGTGAGTGTGGAGCCCTGCTGTGGCACTGTAGGATAATGCACTGCACTGGAAGGTTGGTTTGAACTGTAAAGTTGGCGGTTCAAATTCACCAGCTACTCCTCAGAAACTCTATACAGGGTTGCTATGAGTTGAAATCGACTCAACAACACTTAACAACAACAACAACAACTAGCCATGAGTGGTCCAAGTGTCCTGGATGTGGATCAGTGTGTTTTTTCAGAGGGAATGAAGTGTCCCAGTTTACCTAGCAGGCTAGAGAAGACTGATTGGAAGAGTATCTACTGTTTTCTTTCTTCTGCCCCATGCTACATGTACCTATTTTCATTAAAGCAATGAAAACATGAGCCTTTTAACAGCGTATCTTTTTCAATTTAAGTAACTGGCAGCTCATGAAAGCATTGTTGGATGTAGTACGGACTAGCTCAGCCAATTTCAGGTCAGACAGATGGAATGCGCCAAGCACTCACTGGATGCCTGTTGGTCGGTTGTAGACTATCCTTACTGATAGCCCTTGAACTTGTCAGAGCCCGGAAGTTGTTCCTCTGGATTCCGATTGTTAAAGGGAATAATGATGTCTGTTTCAATTTCTAGTTTTAAAAACGTAGTAACAACAAATAAATGTTTTCTTCCTTAAAAATAAAACCCTTTGAGAGCCTCCTTATAAATATCTGGTGAGTGACTGGTGTGAATGAGCTGAGCGTACTCGAGTCTCTGACAGTAATTGGGTGGCACTCAGCTCAACATCACTAGCCATGAGAGGGAGTAGGTAGAGTTGGATCATTCTGTACGCCACTGCTATGGAGTCAAGTCCTATTCGTAGCAACCCTATACGGACAGTGCCATGGGCAACAGATCTGTTTTGGAAGAAGTGCAGCCAGAGTGCTCCTTGGAGGCCATATGGCCAAACTTCGTCTCTCATACTTCAGACATATTGTCAGGAGGGACCAGTCTCTGGAGAAGGATATCATGTTTGGTAAGGTGGAGGGACAAAGAAAGAGAGGCAGACCCCCAACGAGATGGATTGGCCAACTGGCAGCATCGATGGACTCAAGCGTGGCAACAGTAGTGAGTTTGGCCCAGGATCGGGCAGTGTTTCTATCTGCTGTGCGTAGGGTTGCTATGAGTCAGTATCCACTCGATGGCACCTAACAACAACAGCTATAGGACAGAGCAGAACAGCTCCATAGGGTTGTCCAGACTGTCCATCTTTACAGAAACAGATCACCACGTCTGTCTGCAGAGTAGGGGCTGGCGGGTTTGAACTTCTGACCTTTCAGTTAACAGCCCAGCCACTGTGCCACAAAGACTCCTTGGACAATTCTGTAACTACATTCTGTTTTACATAATCATTATGAAAAACTTCAAATGCACGGAAAAGCAGAGAGAAAAGTGTAAGGAACCCCCCATTTGATAGTTAATTAGCATTTTGCTTTATGTGGCACTGCAGGATAATGCACTGCACCACAAGGTCAGTTTGAGCCACAAGGTCAGAGGTTCAAACTCACCAGCTGCTCCTTGGAAACCCTATACAGTGTCGCTATGAGTTGGAACTGACTCAATGGCACTTAACAACAATACTTGCTTTATCTATCTGTGTGTGTATATGAGTGAAGTATTTTCAAATAAATCCCATGCTTCACCACATTTTGCCCCTGATAATTTCAGTATGCATCTCTAAAGAATAAGATGTCCCCTTTAAACTTGTATAATACTATCACTTAAAAATATATATATATTGTGAATTGAGTGAAGGTTTACAGACCAGATCATCAGTCCCACCTTCAATAAATTACACACTTCAATGATTGTAATCCACTCCATGTGCTATCAGTTAGTAGCATTTACTTCTATTCACTTTTTTCCCTCCCCCACTACTATTATTCTTAATAAAATTAACAGTGATTCCTTAATATCATCCAGTACTGAGTCCCTAATCAGATTTAACTATTACCATGAAATGATTTTTGCAGTTTTTTTCTTTGAAAGAAGATCTAACCAAGCTTCATGCATTGACAAGAAAGTTACAGTTTATTGTTTACGTAGTCCTCTAGCATTTATTTAATTCCACAATGGATTAGTCTTTAAAGATAGAGGCCATAAGGAACAGTTGTGTTGGCATGAACTAAGCAATGAGTGCACATGAGAAATCGTCAGTTTACACATCAGCCTAAAGATGCTCTTTACATAGCTCCTTGTTATAGTCACTGGATTAAAATTCTCCCACAGCCACCAACATTCTCTAACACTTTGAAAAGAAATGTAAAAAGAGATAGTGACCCCCACAAAAAAAGAAATATTACTACCTGTATGTTTGTAATAAATACTTGTGAATTTGTTTTAAAGAAGAGATAATATATCTAATCTTACTTATCATTTGATGAAAATGAAAACTCTCCCCCATTCATATGTTTCCTTTTCTGAAACACATTTGCAAATATCAACCTAAA